GTCACTGGGGTCTTAACTTTGGAAAAGGGTTTATCTTCTGCTTTGGCTCTTTCCTTTTCTCTACTTCCTGGCTGCCGTGAAGTGAACAACTTTCTTCTGTTATCCCCCTTTACCATGCTATTTCTGCCTTGGAGCCAGCTGACTGTGGACTGAATACCCCCCAAACCATTAATCAAATTAAACCTCTCCTCATTAAAGTTGTCTTATATATTTAGTTCTGAGAGAGGAGACCACCTTTCCATGTGGAATTGGGCAACTATGAGTTAACTGTTATTATTAAGCATCTGTGGGCTAACTAGCTAACTATGCTCTTTGTAGAATGTACCTACCTGAGTAGCCATGACAACTTCCGTTATCTGTCACCAAAGGATCGTAATGGACTCAGAAAATCCTGCCAAAACTCTTTGCTCTCCCCCTCTCCACTGCTCTGCTTTCTGTAAATCCTGCTTGCTATATTCCCAGGGAAACTCTAATGGAATTAAGCTTAGTGGATGTAAAAAGTACAAACTTCTATTCAGGGCTCTCGAGACTGACAGGAGTCACTCACTGAGCCACCAGCCTCATTAAAAGCCGCTTTTTGCTCCTATCTTCATGTTAAAGAGTTATCTGTGCCGGGATCCTCACTGTTTCCTGCTTTAGTCCCAATGACAGAAAATGCGTACTACAAAAAGAAATCCTATATTCATTTCAGTTATAGGCATACTAAGGCAAAAATTTGTAACACCCAAATGGGAGTTACAAACATTGAATAAGTGCAGTTGTGTGTGTGTGTGTGGTTTTTTGAGATGGTCTTGCTCTGTAATTCAGGCTGTCCTTGAATTCACTGTGTAGCTCAGGCTAGCCTCAAACTCTTGGCAGTCCTCCTGCATCAGCCTCCTGAGTGCTGGTCATAGGTGTGCATCACCATGCCTGGCGAGTGCAGTATTTTGGAATTTAATAGCATAGTTCATCTAAAATGATGTCATAAACTAACATGGTAATAGAATATAACAGATCATGATAAGATATTTGGAGATTGTCTTAGTCTGTACTGCTATAAGAAAATACCACAGGTTGGGTTTTATAAATAATAAAAACCTTACATAGTTCTGAAGGCCGGGAAGTTTAAGGACAAGGCACCAGATGGATTGGTATCTGATAAAAGGTGCTCCCTGATAAAAGATGGCACTTTGTTACTTCATCTTCACATGAGGAAGTGACAGAAGGGCAAAGGGTGCTTCCTTTAATCTCAGACCCTTTTATGAAGATGCTAATCCTATTCTTTTTTTTTTTGGTACTGGGGATCGGGGCTCAAACTCGGATCCTTGTGCTTGTGAGGCAGGTGGCAGAACCACTGAGCTAAATCCCCGGCTGCTAATTCTATTCTTGAAAGTAGAGCCCTTGTCATTTAAATCACATCCCAAAGACCACACCTCCTAATACTGAGGATTAAGTTTCAATATGAATTTTGGAGGAGACACCATCATTCAAACTAGCAGAGACAAATTCCTTCATTTTGTAAATGAGGAAAGTAAGATTTTAGGATAGTTAGCACTTGCTTGTGATCAGCCAACAGTTAATAGAGCTAGAACTAAACTATAGATTCTTTTAGTTCAGTCCTCTATCTACACTGGTGTACCTATGTTTGTCTCATTAAATAATTATTTATTTTAACATTAACTATATTCAGCTGGGTGTGGTGATACATGCCTATAATCCCATAATCCAGGAGGCTGAGGCAAGAGGTTCACCTGGAGTTCAAGACCAGCCTGAACTACACAGTGAGACCCTGTCCCAAAAAATAAAAAATTCACTGGGCGTGGTGGCATATGCCTGTAATCCCAGCACTTGGGAGGCTGAGGCAGGAGGATCACCTCAAGTTCAAGGCCAGCCTGAGCTACATAGTGAGTTCAAGCCCAGCCTGAACTATACAAAGAGACCCTGTCTCAAAAAAAAAAAAAGGCCAGGGAATTAGCTCAGTGGTTCGGCTGCCTGCCTTGCAAGCGCAAGGACCTGTGTTCGATCTCCGGTACCAAAAAAGACAAAGCAAAATAAGAACAATAAAGTAATACTGAATGCTTTAAAAAAAAAGAAACATAACATCTTTAAAAAATAAAAAAATAAAAAGAAAATCACTACATACTTGCTCTTCATTTCTGTGAAATGGAACTTAGATTTTAATTTGTATTAGAGAAACATTAAATAGCTAACATATGACTGCACATTATAAATAGCAAATAATTATTGTGTAACAAACTGATTGCTGGATTGCCTTACAATTCTGGAACTTGGGGCCAGCACTATTACTACAATAGTAAGGTGGCTTGGCCTTTGGGTTCTGGAGTCAGGCTGCCTCTGAATTGGAATCCAGACTGGTCAAGTAGTACTTCACCTCTTTAAATCTGTTTCCTCATCTGGCAAATGGAGATAATAATAGTACCTATCCTTACTTGATTTTTAAACTTTTTTTTTTTTTTTTTTTTTTTTTTTACAGTACTGGGAATTGAACTCAGGGCCTCATTCTGGGCAAGCACTCTTCCTCTGAGCCATATCCCCATTTTTTTTTTTTTCCATTTTATTTTGAGGCAGGGTCTCACTCTGTTGCCAGGCTGGCCTTGAACTTATGATCCTCTCACCTTAGCATCCCAAGTAGCTGAGATTACAAATGTATACCATTGAGCTTGGCTCCCTGCCCTTACTCAAGAGCCTGAGGCAGGGGGATCTAGAGTTCTAGGCAAGTCTAGGCAATGTAGCAAGACTGTCTCTTAAAATAATAATAGTAATGGGCCAGGGATTTAGCTCAGTGGTTTCACTGCCTGCTGCACAGGCGCAAGAACCCAAGTTTGATCCCCGGTACCAATCAATCAATCAATCAATCAATGTATGTATGTATGTATGTAGTAACAATAAGAAGTACCATAAATGTGTATTGAGAAGATTAAAAGAGCGGCTGCTCTTTTATTATTTGAAAAGCGTTATTATCTTTAGTAGCTATTTTCCCCTAGCCAATTTTTTTTTTTTTTGGTACTGGGGATCGAACTCGGGTCCTTGTGTTTTCGCAGCAGGTGGTAAAACCACTGAGCTAAATCCCCGGCTTTAGTAACTATTTTCATTAAGAACCAGATAGTTCTCCAGGAGAGCATGTTATGTCACCACATCTTCCATATTAAAGTTTGAATTTTTCTCCTTTTTCTTGACCATCTGTAGACCCATGGACTTAACTACCCTGAAGAGGAATCTATCTAAGGGACGGATCCATACCATGGCCCAGTTCTTGCGAGACTTAATGCTGATGTTCCAAAATGCTGTGATGTACAATGACTCTGATCATCATGTGTATCACATGGCTGTGGAGATGCAGCGAGAAGTCTTGGAGCAGATTCAGGTATCACAAAGAGCTCCTAGAAAAAAGGGGCAGGGTAACCTCTGGATTTGACTTTGGAAAGTATGAAAATAAGGGTGGTGCTGTGGCCTTGTGATCCCAGAGTTTATTTTCAGACCTTAACGGCTGATGTTGTACCTACTGGCTTGGAAAACACTGAAGCTCAGTAGGTCCAGTTTTAATACACAGTAAAATGAGGGAGACTAGAAAAACAAGTGGCAAGAGAGGAAATAGACAAATAGTGGGAGCTTCTGCTTCTAGGACCTCAAGCTGAAGTCACTGGCCATTTTTAAGTTACTACATCTGTTGGTATTAATGTACATTCACACTTTCTCACCTTTAAAGAATAAGGTATACAGTAGTAGTTTCTTTTCTGGGCAGCATTGTCTCTTTTATTTTGTTTTGTTTTTTGAGACAGGGTCTCGCTATGTAGCCCAGGCCGGCCTTGAACTCACTATGTAGTCCAAGCTGGCCTCAAACTCATGGCAGTCCTCCTGCCTCAGTCTCCAAAGTGCTAGGATTACAGGCATGTGCCACCACACCCAGCCTAGCCTCATCCTTTAAAGAAAAAAAATGTCAAATCTATTTGTCAAAAAGAAATAAAATTATATTTAATCCTTTGTAGCCTGTAAGATTCATAGCTTGCTGTCTGTTCCTTGACAGATGCTGAATATATGGTTAGACAAAAGAAGAGACTTAAGTAGTCAGGATTGAGTACCAGTCAACCCAGTGGATGTTGGAAATCTTTTATTAATCTGAAGCTGCTACCACAGCCATTTCTGAAGTTTGGACCTTCTCCTAAGACTACCTCACAACCAAGGAGCCTAAGATGCCTGCAAGTCTAATATTTTTAAAGATGTGGGGGAGCTGAGAATTGGGTTTATGCCATTAACATTGCCCACGTTTTTGTTCCACAGCTTAATTTAGAAGTAGATGAAACATTTTACTGCTGTTGTATAAATAAATATTTCATAAACCAGATTGCTTTTTTTTTTTTTTGCTACTGGGGATCGAACTCAGGTCCTTGTGCTTGCACAGCAGGCGTCGAAACCACTGAGCTAAATCTCTGGCCCCAGATTGATTGCTTTTTAATGATTATAGAAGCTGAGAATAGAGTGGCAGCATCATGTGTTGAAACAAGTTAGCTGACTCAGGTCTTACATATGCTGTCTGGAAGGGGTTGGAGTAGCCTGGGGAAGAGTGTTTATGGCTTGTCTCATATAAAGTGAGGATAATTGAAGGGTCCTTCAAATAGACAGGAGCTTGAAATAAATTATAGCTGGGCCCAGCGGCACAGGCATGTAATACCAGTACTCTAGGAGGCTGAAGCTGGAGCGTAACAGGCTTGAGCCCTGCTTGGGCAAAGTAGCACTTAGCATAATCCTATTGGGGACCAAAAAAAAAAAAAAAAGGCTGGGGATGTAGGTCAGTGTGAAGGCCCTGGGGTATGATCCACAGTGCCCCCCCCCAGGATAAATGATAAGGAAACTGTTAGAAAACATAGTGCGCTAAGATTTACAAGGAAAATAAAAACGCCTGTGGCTGATTTCCCTTGGTTAAAACTACTGCAAAGTGCATTACTGGGATTGGCCCTCTACAGCCACCGTCCTGTGGCAAATTGGAGCTTCAAGTCTCCTAGCAACAAGTGGTGGAACTGGAAAGGCCGGCACCGAGGTGAGTGCCTTGGAGGACCATGCTGGAGAGTGCCGAAGGACCCGGGAACCCTGTTTTCCAGTCAGACTTTACACGCAGAGTGAACCTAGCGGGTCTCTTTACTAAGGCAGTTAACTGGGGCCACTCTGCTGTTGCTAGAGTGGTGTGCAGTGTTGCTAACCAGACCAGTCCCTCCTCTTTCTCTACTCTCCCTCCTACACAACCCTGCCCCCCCCCCCGCCCCCAAGTTGCTGCTGGTATCAGGTCTCCCTTTGGTTCTGATCCTGTGAGCCTGGTCTCAAGAACTCAACTTGGGGACCGGGGATTTGGCGCAGTGGTGCCGCTGCCTGCCTAGAAAGGCAAGGTCCTGAGTTCGATCTCCCGTACAAAAAACAAAACACTCGAGCACAGGAGAAATCATTGAGACACTGCTCGTAGAAAAATATGTGGCAGCTTCTACTTTGATAAATTAATAAAATCTACCAACTAATACTGCTATTCATTCTTTCCTTTCCTTTCCTTCCTTCCTTCCTTTCGGTACTGAGGATCGAACTCGGGTCCTTGCGCTTGCAGAGCAGGCAGGGAAACCACTGAGCTAAATCCCTGGCCCAATACTGCTATTCTTAATCATAATTACGTTGAATTTGGGATGGGGAATGGTCTCATTGCAGTTCATATCTGTCAAGAAACTTAGATTGTACCTGGAATGGCCGAAATGGAGATATCAATGCCCCTGCCTCAAATCTATGTAGAAAAAACTCTGGCAATTATCAAACCCGATATTGTTGACAAAGAGGAGGAGATACAGGATATCATTCTCAGATCTGGATTCACCATTGTTCAGGTAACATGTAGAATTATCACACTGTTTTTAAATCTTTGCTCCTTCCTTTTAAAGTTGCTTATGTAAATGTGTGCTCCCATTTAGATCCTTAATGATAAGCATTAATTTTGGTTTATTTTCTAAAATAAAAGTTATATGTGGGTCGGGGATTTAGCCCAGTGGCATCGTGCCTGCCTTGCAAGCGCAAGGTCCTGAGTTCGATCCCTGATAACCCCCCCAAAAAAAGTTATATGTGATAGTTTTTGACACTTCAAAAAGGTATGAAATGAAGTTGGGTGTGGTGCTGCACACCTGTAATCCCAGCATGTTCGAGGCTGAGGCAGGAGGATTAGCTGTGAGTTTCAGGCAAGCCTGAACTAATAGCTGGGCTATATAATGAGTTCAAGGCCAGCCTGAACTACACAGGGAGACCCTGTCTCAAAAAAAAAAAAAGATAGGGCCGGGGATTTAGCTCAGTGGTTCTGGCGCCTGCAAGGTCCCAAGTTCGATCCCCGGTACCAAAAAAAAAGATATAAAATGAGAACTAAAATTGTTTCTGTCTTCACCTGCCCTTTCCACCCCAAGTCCCAGTCTCTAGAGAGAGGCAACCACTTTGCTCTTTCAGGAATTTTGTTTATAAACTTGTGTTCCTCATAAAATAGAGCTGTTCCCCCCGAAACCCTGTTTTAAAAGTCCCTTAGGTAGCATTCTAGATTGTTACATCTGAATCTATCTCATCCTAATTTAAACTTTTTTTTTTTATGAGACAGGGTCTCACTATGTAGTTCAGGTTGGGCTTGAACTCATTATGTAGCCCAGGCTACCCTCAAACTCAAGCTGATCTTCCTGCCTCAGTCTCCCTAGTGCTGGCATTACAGGCATGTGCCAATATGCCTGGCCCAATCTCATCCTAACTTCTGAGAAATATTCTCCTGTACAATTTAATTACCTGATTTTTAAGATTTTATATACTTATTTTCTATTAGAGGACTTTTAGGCTGTTGATTTTTTTTGTTATAAACATTTAATGATTTAAGCCTTATATCTGCCCCACAGTGTGTAAACATTTTTATTTTAGAAGTTTGAAAATGAATATTAAAAAGTAAAGATTATCAAAACTAGGTATGGTAGCCCATGCTTGGAATCCCAGTTTTGGGGAGGCTGAGGCAGGAGGATCACCATGAATTTGAGACCAGCTTGAGCAACACAGTGAGATCCTGTCCCCAAAAAACAGACTGGGCATGATGGTGCACACCTGTAATCCCAGCACTTGGGAGGCTGAGGCAAGAGAATCACCACAACTTCCAGGCCAGCATGGCTTACATAGCAGATTCAAGACCAGCCTGAAGTACATAGCGAAATCCTGTCTTTAAAAAAGTATCAAATAGAATTGAATATTTTTAATTTTTCCTCTTTTGTATATTCTTATTTGACTTTTTAGTTTTTTATTCTCTTACATGGACACATGTCATATTGCCTAATCAGTGTTTTAAGATTAAAATAGAGAAAACTTATCAAGAAATATGTAATTTTAGTTGAGTGTTCAAGGATAGGTAGAGGCCTTGGGTAGGGATGGCACAAGACATTGTAAGGAAATATTTAATACAATTTAAAAATTCAAGTAATTAGGAAGTTTTTACTAACTTTGGCCAGGATTATAGACATGTGCCGCCATGCCTAAGTTTGCTTTGAATTTTTGAACCCTACATTATCCATTAACTTTAGAGAAAAAAAAATGAGTGCTTGCACAAGACTAATTCCAGCATTCTGGGAGACTGCGGCAGGAGGATGGCAAGTTGGAGCCTGGCCTGGGCAATTTGGTGACTTATCAAGACCCTGCCTCAAAATAAAAAACAAAACTAAACTAAAATAAAATAAAATAAAACAAAAGTGGGGGTAGCTCAGTGTAGAGGCCCTGGGTTCAGTCACCAAAAACATACACAGAAGGCGCTGGGGATGTTGCTCAGTGGTGCCGTGCCTGCCTGGCAAGTGTGAGGTCCAGAGTTCAATCCTCAGTACCAAAACCCAAAAAAACCACAGAAACCCTACTATTAATAATACATGTAATTGGGCTGGGGATTTAGCTCAGTGGTTTCGCCACCTGCTGCTCAAGTGCAAGGACCCAAGTTCGATCCCCAGTACCAAAAAAAAAAAAAAAATACATGTAATAATTAAGTAGCTAGTGTTAAATTAAAAATTAGTGTATATAACATTTTCCCTAATCAATAAATTGTAGACCAAAAGCAGCCATGGTGTGTTCTATGGGGCTGCTACTTTTTCTTAAATTGTGGTAAAATTTAAGATTTACCACTTTAATAAGCAGGGGTGGAGTTCAGTATCATAAAACACATTCACATTGTTGTGTGCTGTCACCACTGTCCATTTCTAGAACTTTTTCATCTCAGACACTGTATTCTTATTAAAAAATGACTCCTTCTTTCCCTTGGAAACCACTGTTCGGCTTTCTTTCTCTAGGAATGTGAGTTCAGCTATTTCATATAAGTGAAATCATATAATATTTGTCCTTTTGTACTGTATGTTGTAAAAATAGGCTTCACTAGAGTTGGGAATCCACTGAAAATGTTTTCTTGCCCATCTAGCGGAAACATTTGAAAACTGACACATCTTTTCAGTAGGTGGCAGTCTTTCCTTTGTTACAAACTATAAGTTCTCTTCCTAATAGTATTTGATTTCACTGCTTCTTTGTGTCAGCCTGATTTCAAAAATTTTCACCTGATTTAATTTTAAAGCAACCAGTGGAATCTTTGATTCAGTATTGAGTGAATTTAAAGATGAACCCTTAATTTTAAAAATTATGCTGCATCAGCTAGCATGCCTATGGAAGGTAGTGTCCTCTGCTTGTTAAGAGGCATGTGGCACAGGGGATGGTGGAAGGAGGTAGACTGGTGGGGCACAAGGGGTATCTGAGAGCTAGACCTCTTCCAGAGTGTGCTGTGGAATCCAGTGAAGCTCCATTACCATGGTGGGAGGGACTCAACCCCATGGCAGGCCTGGGAAGTAAACAGATTTCATTTTCAAGATGAAAAGCTCATCAGACTCACCTATGCTTTTACCTAACACTCCACAGGCCTCTGTGAATCCATCATCTCCTCCTGCAAATAATGTCGTTCACAAAAGCGAATTTATGAGTGCAACACTTAGATTTAGGAAAACAAAATTTTCACTTAATTTCTATTACAGAGTCATATACATCTTCAAGTAAAAAAATGAAAATGCCCAGACTTTTTGAAAGAAACCATCTTCAACACAGAAGTTTGTATTTATTTATTTTTGAGACAGGGTCTCGTTATGTAGGCTGGTTTTGAACTCACTATGTAGCCCAGGCTGGCCTTGAACTTGTGGTGGGCCTCCTGCCTCAGCCTCCTGAATGCTGAGATTACAGATGTGCACCATCACAAATTGCAATTTTATTTTTAAACGAAGGATTGAACCCAGGGTCTTTTTTTTTTTTTTTTCATGTATTTATTGGCCATTTGTACTTCTTTTTTTTTTTTTTTTTTGGTATTAAATTCTTTAACCCAGCATCTTTTCACTGAACTATATCCCGACTTAAAAAAAATTTTTTTAAATTTTGAAACAGGGTCCTGCTAACTCGTTAAATTGCTGCCCCAAGTTTGTCTTCAATTTGCAATCCTTCTATCTTCTCCTAGAGTGCTGGTGTTTGCAATTTTTAGAATGTTTTAAACACATAGACAGTGAATCTGAAGAAAATACATATTGTAGGGGACAGGGGAAGGGCACGTTACCAGAACCTCTGCAGTGAGTCCTGGTCTCCTGCGAGCCACGGCAGCACACGGCGAATTACAGGAAAGGTAGAAAAATGAGACTGAGAAGAAGCTGAGCTTTGGGTCTGATCAGTGCTGCTCTGGGCAGCAAA